GAGAGAGAGAGAGATTAAAACTCTTAGTTCAATCAATAAACCAAATTCTTCACAAAAAATCTTATCAGACTCAACGAATACACTCACATGAGTAGAGTAGAGATGTGCGACATCATCCATAAATGGCAGTGGTAGTACATGATAAACTAAGAATACTAAAAGAGTGTATGCATCCTTTTCCGGAAAAAAAAAAGAGTGTATGCATATATGAATACTACATACTCCCTCCGTTCCTAAATATTTGTCTTTCTAGAGATTTCAACAAATGACTACATACGAAGCAAAATGAATGAATCTACACTCTAAAATATGTCTATATACATCCGTATATAGCCACTTGTTAAAATCTCTAGAAAGACAACTACTCCCTCCGTCTGAAAATACTTGTCATCAAAATGGACAAAAAGGGATGTATCTAGAAGTAAAATACATCTAGATACATCCCCTTTTATTCATTTTGATGACAAGTATTTCTGGACGGAGAGAGTATTTAGGAACGGAGGTAGTACAAGACATGCACAGTAAGCAACATATAATACCGCACGATGTGTGGCGAGCAACTTCTGATGGGTCAACAGATGAATGTAGAGAAAACATAACACTAAAGTACGTACCCCTCATATGGTGTCTAATCTCCAATCAACAAAATCGTACAAGAGAGATATATGTGGAGAATTAAACACATGACTTCACATCTGCTGCTCCGGCGGCCAATGCCGGGGAGGTTAATCTTGGTGCCTCGGCTTTGGCTAGTAGACAGGTTAGGATTTTAGTCCTTGTCTCCTTGCAGGGGAAATGCTCGGACGGATGACAACACTTCTTCAAGTCAGTCTTTCAGACTCTGATCCTCCTCAATTTCGTCCATTGAGATGGATTAAACGACGCTTCGTCGTATTCCCTCTGTCCCAAAATACATGGCACATAAATTTAGTCAAAAAGTCAATGTTGTCTAAGTTTGACCAAATATATAGAAAAAAATATTAACAACTACTCTTTTTGACTCAGTATATCTAATGATGAATATATTGATATTGATTTGATATTGTTTCTCTTTATATTTGTGGATATATATTTAGTCAAACTTAGAAAATATTGACCTTTTGACTCAGTTTTATACACCATGTATTTTGGGATTGAGGGAGATTCCTACTAGTTTCTCGGGGCAATGAGGTTAGGATTTCTCATCATGTGTGTACGATGGAGAGATTTGGCGTCGGGTTCTTCAGATCGATTTGAGGATTGAACGACGGTGTCTGCGATTCCAGGCACTGGTTCTTAGGGGCAGATGCATGATGCTTTCCGACTGTCATCAACATGGTCAGCGATGCTTCGGTACGGGAGCGTTGACAACGACGCGTGAGGCCTGTTTCGGCAATGACAATGGTTATTTGATTATCCAGGGATTTTGATGTATTTTTCATTATGTTTGAAATGTTCCGTACTTTTGATAGGCCTTTATGATAAAGATACGATTGTCGCAAAAAAAGTTCAAATGTTTTGTCTATGCGTTTAAAAAAAAGTGCTTTAAACTAAAAGCCCATTTGGTTATATAAGGTTTTAAATACAAAAACTTACTCTCTCTGTAAGGGAGTACAAAACTAATCAAATAACGCAACATACCACCGAAACAAGGGCACTCGAGGAATGAAAGCCTAGTTTTATCAAAGTCTTTTTTTTGGGAAAGGTTTTATCAAAGTCTAGTCACATGCTTTTGAATAAAATATTGCTTTAGGGTATAATATACGAGCTACACATACTTTTTCTCTCGAACAGTGTTGGATTGTGTAACCCGCAAAAAAAGTGTTGGATTTTGTAATTTGTACAAGTACGCCACCGTTGACAAGATTAACGGCTGAAAATGCTTCGGCAAAGTTGACCCAACCGGCATCCCTCCTCTGAACCGTCGGATTCAGCTACCACCCCGCGGCACCCCGCCTACCTAAACCTCGGCGACTCTCTTCCCCCCACTGTTCACCCGGCAGCTTACCTCACCTCGGCGAGTTCCATTCCCTCCACCAAAGACGGTCGCTACTCCCCGGAAGGCGGCAATGGAGCAAGCGAACCCGCCGGCGGGGTCGGCGAGGAACAGGAAGGTGGTGCTGCGGGAGTACATCAGCCGCGCGCCGAGGGAGGACGACATGGCGCTCGTCGACGGCGGCGCCATGCCGCTGCGCGTCCCCGAGGGCGCCGCCGGCCCGGCCGTGCTGGTGAAGAACCTCTACCTCTCCTGCGACCCCTACATGCGCGGCCGGATGCGGGACTTCCACGGCTCCTACATCCCCCCGTTCAAGCCCGGATCTGTCAGTCTTTTCCCCCCTTCTGACTGCTCTCTCTTGTTGTTGCTGGTTACTGATCAGGCAAAACTTTAATCTGTCAAGGTTATAGAAGGGCTGGGCGTGGCGAGAGTGATGGACTCCACTCATCCAGGGTTCGTCGCCGGTGACATTGTCTCGGGAATGACTGGCTGGGAGGAATACAGCCTGATTGACAAGCCCGAACAGCTGAATAAGATTCAGCAAAGCGACATACCACTGTCCTATCACTTGGGTCTTCTCGGTTAGTTTCTTGCTGCTATTTTGGTTATCCAGTTGAATCCTGAAGCATCGACAGTATATATCACGAGTGACAACGGGCAACACCTACCTACTGCACTTCATTTCTGTTGGAAAGTCTTCCCCTGGTTGCACGAATATGTAATGTGTAATCGAGAAGAAAATGGAGGTTAGAGTAGGCACAAAATGAATAAAGGTGTGTGGTTGAGGGCATTTTTAATGGACGGCTCTCTCGTTGTTAATGAATTGGCAATGGTGTGTTTGAGTGGGTCTATTCACGGGGCTGTTTTAATGGAATTGCAATGTTGTAACCAAGTAGCTACTGTTTCTGACATTGCTGTTTGTTAATTATTCTTTATTCCGACATGTTCACTAATACTCCGGTCTTCTCCGCAGGCATGCCTGGTTTTACAGCTTATGTTGGATTCTATGAGATCTGCTCACCGAAGAAAGGAGAGTTTGTCTTTGTTTCTGCTGCATCGGGAGCAGTTGGTCAGATTGTTGGTCAACTTGCAAAGCTCCATGGCTGCTATGTCGTCGGAAGTGCTGGAACAAATGAGAAAGTACTCATCAAACTTGTAATACATCATTCGTTAACTGTTTAGCTGTATCATTCAGGGTCTACAACATTGTTTCAGGTTGAACTCCTAAAAGATAAGTTTGGATTCGATGCAGCTTTTAATTACAAAGAGGAGCCTGACTTGACTGTAGCACTAAAAAGGTCAGACCTTCTCCTTCAATAAGATACAGCAGAACGTCTAAAAAACGATACAACAGTAACTAGTGTAAAGATGGATCAAGCTAGTTTATAATGAACCCCTAAAAGTCATGTTAACAGAATGAACTATTGATGGGCTACCTGAATTTTTAGGCACACTTCACCATATTAGCATCATAAGATTTTTACAGTAGCCTGAAATAAACGTAGACCGCTCATTTGTTCTAATCTAATGGCAGATATTTTTCATTTTGTTGTCATTATCTGCTTACCGTTTTTGTTTTGAAATTAGCAATTCTGTTGAACTCAGTAAACATGGAGAATAGCACCAAAATGATGTTATCTTTGTTCTGCAATCTTTCCATACATAGGTACTTTCCTGAAGGTATCGACATCTACTTCGAGAATGTAGGAGGACCAATGCTAGATGCTGTACTCCTTAACATGCGGATGCATGGTCGCATAGCAGTATGTGGCATGGTATCCCAGCACGGCATGACTGACCCTGCAGGGATCCACAACCTCTTCTGCCTGGTGCCGAAACGGATCAGTATGAAGGGCTTCATCCAGAGTGATTACATCAACTTATTCCCACAGTTCGTCGATTACATGACCAAGCATTACAAGGATGGCAAGATTGCATATGTAGAAGACATGAGCATTGGGCTAGAGAACGCGCCAGCTGCCTTTGTTGGTCTATTCAGTGGTAAAAATGTGGGCAAACAAGTCGTGTGTGTGTCACAAGAGTGAAGTACATGTACGTTCTGATGAATATACAAATATCTCATGATTCAAATAAATAATAAAAATTGTGAACCCTCTTATGTCAATGTGTGTTTATCTGATCTGTTCATGCTTTGTGGAATATGAAGTGTATTTTTTGACCTATTATTTTATTACCAAGTTGTGATTTTATCCTAAAGTAATTCAAGTATCTACTAGTTAGTATAGTTAGGACTAGAAGCACTGTTTTACTTTGGACAAAGTATTAGTTGCCTGTCTTCGTGCACTGCTTACTTGCTTAGAAGTTCACCAATTTTCTCTTAGTGGGGTAAGTCTTCGTGCACTCCTTACTTGTTTAGAAGTCTTTCTTCTTCGTGCTTGGTAGTCTCCCACTCAGTTGGACTTTGATGAATTAGCAGAAGAAAAAATCAGGGTTTGTCCCTTCTAAAGAGCTGGTGCCCGTTCAACTATGGCAGGTCGTGGCTTCTGTCTTGGCTTGATCAACTGGTGAGTGTTCTGAAGCACCTCATATTCTCGATGAAATATTCCATGAAATCGAAAACAAGTACACATGACTTATTATTTTCCTTTTCTGGAGGCTGGTTTGTGTGGCTTCATGTCTGAACAAGTTATTTCTTCGTTTTCCAAGTATTCTTACACAAGTTTTAATCAGGTAGAATTGAGAAACTGCAACTTTTGGCCGACCAGCGGTTTGTTTCACTCCATGTTTGTGATGGCTGATTATACCAAGTTCCTCCTTTTGTTTCTGCTCTTGAGCTGCTCATCATTGTGTTTTGGTTCTGAACCTGATATCCGGTGCCTGATGTCTATACAACGATCAGTGATTGATCTCAGAGGCGTACTCAAATCCTCATGGAATTTTGCCAATAGCACCAACGGTTTTGTATGCCAAATTACTGGCGTGGAATGTTGGCACCCCGACGGGAACAAGGTTTATGCTTGGCGTCTGAGCAATCTAGGGCTTGAAGGCCCATTTCCTCAAGGTCTTCAACATTTCACAAGCTTGAGCATGCTGGACCTGTCAAGTAACAAAATTTCAGGACCGATCCCTGCTGACATCTCATGGCAGCTGTCGTATCTGTCATCTCTGGACCTTCAATAAATTTTCAGGTGAAATCCCAGATAGTATAGCAAATCTGATAAATCTGAATGGCCTCAACCTTCAGCACAACCAATTAAGTGGACGAATTCCTGCTTCACTACAGAAGTTTGATGCTTCATACTTTGGTGGAAACCAGGAGCTTTGTGGTACACCACTGCACAAGTGTCCTAGGAGGAGGAGATGGGGACTGAGACGAATCAGGCTGACCAGCATCAATGATCAGTCCAGCATCGGAGCAGCTGTCGGATTCATCGTGTGGTTCGTGGTGGCCTTCTACTTCCCGCACTGCTTCATCTTCTCTGAGAGGCTCCGTGCTTACGTTGTCCGGATAATATGACCCACTTGTTCTGAAACTTTGTCTGCCATCTTCCGGAGGCCAAATAAGCACTTCCAACAGCAACTTCAGTTCTCACCCCTGTAGTAGCAGTTCACCAACATATATACCTGGTACCCCCTAGTGAGTGTAGTGTTTTTTCTTCACGTGTAATGCAAATGGTGCAAGCCATTCTCTTAAGGAAAAGAGCGATGCACGGAATCACAGGTTATAAACTTGTAATGATTTTTGTAGTCTATTTGAGGTTTCAAAAAAAAAAGACAGAGTTATATTCGTGTACACTCTCCCGAATCATTTTCTTGAGGGAAATAAACTCCCATCACAGCAGCATAAACATATCAAATTTGATCAGCTGAACTTAGAAAATATACATTAGCAAGTTTGATATTTTATAGTCGTGGCTGAAACAGAATAATGCCCCTTATGTTTTCTGCCTAGTAAGAGAGCAGACATCTCAGTTCTGCAGTGTTGTCCTCCCTCGACCTTGGGGACATCTTCTGAAAGTGTCCAGATCTTCTCCACCATGGTATGTTCATACTATATGTTCGAATTTTTTGTCCAGTGAATACTTCTTAAAACATGCATGCTATATGTTCTGCTATGGCATGCACACTTTCATAATTTGATACAGAAATATGACCATGTGCATGTGGCATGTAACAAAATTAATTGGGTGCAACTTGAATAATAAATACTCCCTCCGATCATATTACTTGTCGCTCAAATGGATGTATCTAGACGTATTTCAGTGCTAGATACATCCGTTTGAGCAACAAGTAATATGGATTGGAGGGAGTACTATACTAACTGTACCAGTTTGCGCTGTATGCACAGAAGACACATGGCCATATTTCTGCATCACGATATAGGTAGTGTTATAGGAATGATGTCCATCCATGTTTTCTGAAAATCCAACAATATTTTGGAGTAATGGAAACTGATGTAAATTCACCCGGCGAGACCGTGAGGTCAGAGTTCTCGCATGAGGGCTCAAAATTCTACTACTATTCTGCCAGGCGATGATGTAAACTCCCTCCACACATTCCTCTCGGACAATTCTACTGAGACCGGAGACTCGGCGATGCTGGGTTGGTCTTTCTGCCGTGTGCCTTCTTTCCATACTCATGACATGAGGGCAGCGCACTGTGACTGAGACTGGTCGGGTGCTTTACAATCTTTTCTAGAAGATACAATCGGGTTATCTTATATCATCGGCGGTCCACCATGGAGTAGCATCATATAAGTCCCCAGTATTTTTGCCCAATGTGGAAAAGTAATTTATAAGTACCAAGGTATGTATGGTTTTATCCTAAATTAATCCAAATGCCTACTAGTTAGGAGTTAGGACTGGGAGAAGCACTGCCTTTACTCCTGACAAAGTTTACCTGTCTGTCAATAGGTCCTCATAAATGGATGATTTGAAGGCCTCAGTTCCACAAGTTATACACCTAATTTTCTTTCGACAGTGAGTGACTGGTGAGTTTCGGACACCGTTCACTCAGGATGGGGACTACTGGCAGTAGGCACACGGTGTGTCTTTCTTCCCTGTATACTTGTGGCAAATCCTTCCAAGTCAATAAGACTTCAGGATTTGGCAGAAGAAAAGTCTATGCTCTATTGGAGGGATTTCTCTGTTTTGAAAGGGCTGTACCCGTTCATCTATTGCAGATGGTGGCTTCTGATTTGCTTGGATCAACCGTTGAGTTTTCTGAAGCACTCATATTGTCTAGCAAGTATCACATGAAACTAACAAAAGAAGTGTTTTCTCACTTTGTTATTTGCATACTCAGAGTCTACTTTGTAGCGTCTCCATGTCTGATCAAATTATTTCTTATTTTTTCAAGTAGAGTGTTCAAGTGTTCTTACTCAAGTTTTGATCAGGTGACATCGGAATTGACAAGCTGCGGGTTTTGACCAAGCAGAGCTGCTGTTTGTTCCTCTCCATGCTTGCGATGGCTGATGATACCAAGTCCTCCTTTTGGTTTTACTCTTGAGCTGCTCATCATTGTGTTTGGGTTCTGAACTTGATATCCAGTGCCTTAAGTCTGTACAACAATCACTGAATGATCCCAACGCTGTACTCAAGTCCTCTTGGAACTTTGACAATGCCACCGATGGTTACATATGCCGCTTTACTGGTGTGGAATGCTGGCACCCCGACGAGAACAGGGTTCTCTCTCTGCGACTCGGCAACCTTGGACTTGAAGGCCCATTTCCTCAGGGTCTTCGATATTGTTCAAGCATGACGGGCCTGGACCTGTCGAATAACAATTTTTCAGGACCGGTCCCTTCCGACATTTTACAGCAGGTGCAGCAGCTGACATCTCTGGATCTTTCGTACAATAGCTTTTCGGGACCAATCCCAGAGAGCATGTCAAATATGACATATCTGAATCTCCTCAACCTTCAGCATAACCAACTCAGCGGTCAAATTCCACCGCAATTCGATTTGCTTACTCGGTTAACTACGTTCAATGTTGCGGAGAACTTGTTATCAGGGCCTGTTCCTACTTCGCTACAAAAGTTTTTGGCTTCAAACTTTGCTGGTAACCAAGGGCTTTGCGATGCACCTTTAGATGAGTGCTCCGCTTCGCCGGCCTTCACCGTTAGACCGGTACGAATCAGGCTGCAGAGGCTCAACGACCAGTCGAACATCGGAGCAGCCGTTGGATTCATCGTGTGGTTCGTGGTGACCTTCTACTTCCTGCAGTGATTTGTCTTCTCTGAGAGGCTTACGTGGTTCGCGTATGATTTACTTGTTCTGAATCTGTGTCTGGCATACGTCGTGGAGGCCAAATGAGCACTTCCAACAGTAGTTTTAGTTTGTTCGCTGCAGTAACGATTATCTTAATTCACCTGATGTATACCTGGCAACTTGCCAGCGGTGCTTTGGTTTGCTTGTAAATGGTAAATCATATTTCATTTCTTCCAGAAAGATTCAAGGCGATAATCTATATACTCGGACAGAGAGCAGCTCACTCAAAAGGGACTACTTCCAACAGCACCTTCAGTTATCACCCTGTCGAGTCCTTTATTTTTTCTTTGCTTGTAATGCAAATGGTCTAATACATTCTCCCAAAGAAAAGAATGATGCAAGGAATCACCAGTTATGAACTTGTAATGGTTTATGTACTCTTTTCGATGTTTCGGAAGAAAGACAAAGAACAATATTATAGTTCACTCATCCGAATCATTTTCTTGGGGGAAATAAAATCCCATCACAGCAGCATAGCATATCAAATTTGATCAGCTATATTGAGAAAATATACATGTCATGTGTTATCTGCCAAGCAAGAGAGCAGATATGTCAGTTCAGCAGCTTTGTCCTCCTTCAACCATGGTATGTTCACACTCTATTCGATTTTTTTGTCCAGTGTATACTCTTTTTGAAGATGCATGATAACTGTTCTGCTATGGCACACATACTTCAAAATTTCATAAAGAAATATGATCATATGTATCATGTATTTTTTTTAGTGGATACGAGTCATGTAATAACAAAACAAATTGGTGCAACTTGAATAACAAATATGTAGTATACTTTCTAAACTGTACCAGTTTGCTCTGTATGCACGGGAGACACATGGCTGTATTTCTGCATCACAATTTAGGTGGTGTTACAATAATCGTATCGATTCATGTTTTCTGAAAATCCATAATATTTTGGAGTAAAAGAAATTGCAAATGCACCTGGCAAGACCGTGAGGTCAGAGTTCTCGCAGGCGGGTTCAAAATTATATTCTGCCAGGCGATGATGTAAACTCCCTCCACACATTCCTCGGTGACAATTCTACCGAGACTGGAGACTCTCGACGATGCTGGGTCGGTCTTTCTGCCATGTGCCTTCTTCCACATGGCAGTGAGTGACCGGTGAGTGATGGAGTCTTCAGAGACTTGTCAGGATGGGACTATTGGCAGTAGGCACACGGTTTGTCTTTCTTCCATGTATACTTGTGGCAAATCCTTCCAAGTCAATAAGACTTCAGGGTTTGGCAGAAGAAAAGTCTATGCTCGCGTGGATTCTTTGTTTTAAAAGGGCTGCATCGTTCATCTACTGCAGATGGTGGCTTCTGATTTGCCTGGATCAACCGGTGAGTATTCTGAAGCACCTCATTGTCTAGGAAATATCACATGTACTCCCTCTTATAAACTAATATAAGATCTTTTAGATCACTAAAGTAGTGATCTAAAAGATCTTATATTAATTTGCAGAGAGAGTAATTAACAAAACAAGTGTTTTCGAACTTCGTTATTTGCTCTCTTGGTCTTGGAGTCTACTTTGTGGTGCCACCATATCTTATTTTTTCAAGTAGCGTGTTCAAGTGTTCTTACTCAAGTTTTGATCAGGTGACGTCGGAATTGACAAGCTGCAGGTTTTGGCCGAGCAGAGCTGCTGTTTGTTTCACTCCATGCTTGCGATGGCTGATGGTACCAAGTTCCTCCTTTTGTTCCTCCTCTTGAACAGCTCAACGTTGTGTTTTGGTTCTGGACAAGATATCCAGTGCTTGAAGTCTGTATATCAATCAGTAATTGATCCCAACGGTGTACTCAAATCCTCTTGGAACTTTGAAAATGCCACCAGCGGTTTCATATGCCGCTTTACTGGTGTGGAATGCTGGAACCCGGACGAGGACAGGGTTCTCTCTCTCCGACTCGGCAAACTAGGACTGGAAGGCACATTCCCTCAGGGTCTACAAAATTGTTCAAGCATGACCGGCCTGGACCTGTCGAATAACAATTTTTCAGGACCGATCCCTTCCGACATTTTACAGTAGGTGCCGTATCTGACAGCTCTGGATCTTTCGTACAATAGTTTTTCGGGCTCGATCCCAGAAAATATCTCAAATATAAGATATCTGGTAGTCCTCAACCTCCAGCATAACAAACTCAGCGGTCAAATTCCACCGCATTTCAGTTTGCTTACTCGGTTAAATACGTTCAATGTTGCGGACAACTTGTTATCAGGGCCTGTTCCTACTTCACTGCAGAAGTTTTCGGCTTCAAACTTTGCTGGTAACCAAGGGCTTTCTGATGCACCTTTAGATGAGTGCTCCGCTTCGCCGGCCTTCACCGTTAGACCGGTACGAATCAGGCTGCAGAGGCTCAACGATCAGTCGAACATCGGAGCAGCCGTTGGATTCATCGTGTGGTTGTGGTGGCCTTCTACTTCCCGCACTGATTCGTTCTCTCCGGGATGCCCCAATCAGTTGTTCTGAATCTGTGTCTGGCAGAGCTTGTGGAGGCCAAATGAGCACTTCCAACAGTAATTTTAGTTTGTTCCCTGCAGTAACGATTATCTTAATTCACCTGATGTATACCTGGCAACTTGCCAGTGCCGGTGCTTTGGTTTGCTTGTAAATGGTAAATCATATTTCATTTCTTCCAGAAAGATTCAAGGCGATAATTTATATACTCGGACAGAGAGCAGCTCACTCAAAAGGGACTACTTCCAACAGCACCTTCAGTTATCACCCTGTCGAGTCCTGTATTTTTTCTTTGCTTGTAATGCAAATGGTTCAAGACATTTTCCAAAAAAAAAGGAATGATGCAAGGAATCACCAGTTATGAACTTGTAATAGCCTATGTACTTTTTCGAGGTTTCAACAGAAAGATAAAGAACGATATTATTGTTCACTCATCCGAATCATTTTCCTGGGGGGAAATAAAGTCCCATCGCAGCAGCATAACATATCAAAATTGATCAGCTATATTAAGAAATATACATGAGCAAACCTGATACTCCCTCCGTCCCAAAATAACTGTCTCAAGCTTAATACAACTTTATACAAGAGCTAGTACAAAGTTAAGACACTTATTTTGGGACGGAGGGAGTATTTCATAGGCGTGGAGAATCAGAATAATTCCCCTTGTGTATCTCCCAAGCAAGAGAGCAGATATCTCAGTTCTGCAGCTTTGTCCTCCCTCAACTGTGGTATGTTCACAATCTATTCATTTTTTTGTCCAGTGTATACTTTTTTTAAAGATGCATGATAAATGTTCTGCTATGGCGCGCAGACTTCAAAATTTGATACGGAAATATGATCATATGTGTCATGTAATTTTTTTTAGTGGATATGAGTCATGTAATAACAAAAGAAATTGGTGCAACTTGAATAATAAACAGTATACTTTCTAAACTGTACCAGTTTGCGCTGTATCCACAGGAGACACATGGCCATATTTCTGCATCACAATGTATTATGGGATGATACCCCTTCATGTTTTCTGAAAATCCAATAATATTTTTGAATAAAATAAACTGCAGATGCATCTGGCAAGACCGTGAGATCAGAGTTCTCGCAGGCGGGCTCAAAATTCTTTTCTGCCAGGCGGTGATGTAAACTCCCTCCACACATTTCTCGGTGACAATTCTACCGAGACCAGAAACTCTCGATGATGCTGGCCCGGTCTTTCTGCCGTGTGCCTTCTTGCCATAATCGTGACACGAGGGGTGCGGACAGCCTGTCAGAGCCGTTGGATCAGGCTAGAGCGGTCATGATTCGGACTGAGACTATACCTGGCCATACCTCGGGCCGGGCCGGGCTTCGGGCCGGGCCTAGCCAAGCCCGACGCAAAAAACCCAGGCCCAGGCCTGGCCCGGCCCGACCAACGGGCCTGTTTTTTGGGCCCAAGCCCGGCCCGAACACCTAAAAGCCCGTCGGGCTTCGGGCCGGCCCGGCCCGACCTTCAGGAAAGCGCAAAAATGACGGGCCTGGGCCCGGCCCGGCCCGACCTTCGGGCTCAAAATCTAGGCCCGAGCCCGGCCCGGGGGCAGCGTCGGGCCGGGCCGGGCTTCCCATGGCCAGGTATAACTGAGACTGGTCGTGCTTTCAAACTTTTTTTTTATAGAAAAGGAGGATGACCCCCGCCTCTGCATCTGGGAGATGCATGCGGCCATTTTATTGATTATTCTCGAGGACCTTACAAAGTATTACAACAATATGCCTGAATCCGCCATCTTGGCAACATATGCCGCTACTCCTATCCAAATGATGAAGGCGTGCTAGCTGGGCCACTATCCAGACCACTCATCTAAGCCTAACATCAAAATGATGAAGGGGTGCTAGCTGGACCACTACTCAGACCACTCACCTAAGCCTAACATCAAAGCCGAAAGCCCCAGCCGGGCCACATACCGGGTCTGGGGTACAAACAGGTCCGACGCACTCGTGTGTCGTCGCCGCCATCTTCCACAGGTCCGTCTTCAGAGCAAATATTGAGGCTTCTACCTTGTCTGGCCACTCAGCCATCGACGTCACCACGACACCAGACAGCTTCGTCCTCCTGCGCGAGTCCATCGTCACACATCGAACGCCGAATCTCCACTGCGCCAATGCCGCCGAGATACGCCGCCATCAATGAGTAGGATGAAGCACCGCTCCGCCGAGTCCGGCAGGGTTGCTGAAGACCAAGCACCGTGGAAGAAGGACTCCGAGGCTGAGCACATAGGCAGTAGAGCGCCAACGCACCGCCACCAGACGAACTCCGACCACGCCACCAACCGCCGCCAAGCAACCAAAGCATCACATCCACCCCAAGTTCACCACGAACGACACCCCCAAGAGGGTGACGACGCCCGGAGCGCCGCTGTCGCTCGATCCGGCAAGGATTTGGGCTTTCGCCCGGCATACGAGCTGGGTGGTAGGAAGAGGGGAAGGAGGCAACCTGGACGGCGCCTACAAGAAGGGTACGGCGCCCTCGGGCGTCGCCGCCATCGCCCCGGAGACATCTTAGAAGATACGCTCGGGTCATCTTAGAGATTGCATCCTTGGCCCACCCCGGAGTAGGATCATATCAGTCCCAGTATTTTTGCCCAATGTGAAAAAGTAGATTGTAAGTACCAAGACATGGTTTTATCCTAAATTAATCCAAATGCCTAAATAGTTAGGACTGGGCCAGAATAGCACTATCTTTACTCTTGACAAAGTTTTACCTGCCTGTCGCATACGCCCTCATAAATAGAGGATTTCATGGAATCAGTTCCACAACTTATACACCTATTTTTCTCTTGGCAGGGAGTGACTGATGACTGATGAAGTCTTCAGAGACTTCTCAGGATGGGGATTATTGGCAGTAGGCACACGGTATGTCTTTCTTCCCTGTATACTTGTGGCAAATCCTTCCAAGTCAATAAAACTGCAGGGTTTGACTGAAGAAAAGTCCATACTCACGTGGAGCCGTGGAGGCATTCTCTGTTTTAAAAGGCTGCACCCGTTCATCTACTGCAGATGTGGCTTCTGATTTGCCTGGATCAACTGGTGAGTTTTCTGAAGCATCTTATATTGCCTAGGAAGTGTCACATGAAATTAACAAAACAAGTGTTTCCGACTTCTTTATTTGCGCTCTTGGTCTTGGAGTCTACTTTGTGGTGTCATCATATCTGAGCAAATTATTTCTTATTTTTTTTCAAGTAGGGTGCTCAAGACCTCAAGTGTTCTTACACAAGTTTTGATCAGGTGACGTCGGAATTGGCAAGCTGCAGGTTTTGGCCTAGCAGAGCAGCTGTTTGTTTCACTCCATGCTTGCGATGGCTGATGATACCAAGTTCCTCCTTTCAGTTTTACTCTTGAGCTGCTCATCGTTGTGTTTTGGTTCTGAAGCTGATATCCAGTGCCTGAAGTCTGTACAACAATCAGTGATTGATCCCAACGGCGTACTCAAATCCTCGTGGTACTTTGAAAATCCCTATCCCAATTATGCTTATATATGCCGCTTTACTGGTGTGGAATGCTGGTACCCTGGCGAGAACAGGGTTCTCAGTTTACGTCTTGGCAACCTAGGACTTGAAGGCCCATTTCCTCAAGGTCTACAGAATTGTTCAAGCGTGACCGGCCTGGACCTGTCAAACAACAATTTTTCAGGACCAATCCCTCAGGACATTTCACGGCAGGTGCCGTACCTGACATCTCTGGACCTTTCGTACAATAGTTTTTTAGGTTCGATCCCACAGAATATCTCAAACATGACATATCTGAATGTCCTGTTCCTCCAGCATAACCAACTCAGCGGTCAAATTCCACCGCAATTCGATTTGCTTGCTCGGTTAACCGCATTCAATGTTGCGGAGAACTTGTTATCAGGGCCTATTCCTTCTTTGCTAGCAGTAAGGTTTTCGGCTTCGAGCTTTGCTGGTAACCAAGGGCTTTGTGGTGCACCGTTGGATGATTGTCCCCCCTCGAGGAGGAGATGGAGACCGGTACGAATCAGTCTGCACAGGCTCAACGACCAATCGAGCATCGGAGCGGCCGTTGGATTCGTCGTGGGGTTCGTGGTGGCCTTCTACTTCCCGCACTGCTTCGTCTGCTCCGAGAGGCTCCGAGCCTACGTCGTCCGAATATGATTCACTTGTTGTTCTGAACTATGTCTGAAAAATAGCTTCGGGAGGCCAAATGAGCACTTCCGGCAGTAAATCTTTTTTAGTTTGTTCCCCGCAGTAACGATTATCTTAAATTCACATGATATGTATGCCTGGCAACGAGCAATTGCTGGCATTTACCCTGCGACATATTTCAAGTTCAACTCTTCTAGAAAGATGCAAGGAATCACTTGGCCGTGATTATTTATGTTAGATAATAACGAGAAATAAAATGAGACAGAGAGACACGGATTTTTACGTGAAAACCCTTGCGGGAGAAAACCACGGACGCACGAAGGTGCAATCACTATAATGGAAGAGTATTACAAGCATGAGACGACAGGCCGTCTGAGGTGCGACTACATGGGGTATATAAGAGGGCAATACATGAGAGTCCTTGGAGGACAAGTAAACGTACTCGTACGCGTCGACGTCAACGCAAAGGCCCACACCGGTTGTACTACATCTAGTCCAACATGGTATAGTTTGGATCACAATTTAACAATCTCCACCTTGATCCAAATTCCCTCAAGTAGTCAAAGAAAGTAGATAACTCCATCCAAATCAGCATAAACACCTTGTGCGCCAAAGTCCATAAGACTAGCGAGAAATACCAACTAAGCCTGAGCAAAGCTCAAACTTATTGGTCGGAACTGGCTTTGTCATCATATCAGCATGATTATTATGAGTACTTATCTTGCATACCTTCAAATTGCCTTCAGCAACAACATCTCGAATATAATGAAATTGACATCAATGTGCTTTGTCCTCTCATGATGCATTGGATTCTTTGTAAGATATATGGCACTTTGACTGTCAGAAAATATGGTAGGGCAAGATGAATCTCCACAAAGCTCAGTGTATAAACCTTTCAACCAGATAGCTTCTTTGCATGCCTCAGAAATAGCCATATACTCGGCATCAGTAGTGGAACAAGCCACAATAGACTGCAAAGTTGCTCTCCAACTCACAGCGCAACCACCAATGGTGAAAACATAACCTGTGAGTGATCTTCTCTTATCCAAATCACCAGCAAAATCAGAATCAACAAAACCAACAAGTCCATCTCTAGTTTTTCCAAACTGTAAATAAGCATTAGAAGTACCACGCAGGTATCTGAAAATCCACTGAACTGCTCTCCAATGCTCTTTTCCAGGATTAGCCATGTATTTACTGACAACACTCAATGCATATGATAAATCCGGACGAGAACAAACCATGGCATACATAAGTGAACCAACTGCACTTGAATAGGGAACTCTAGACATGTACTCAATATCTGCATCTGACTTAGGACATAAAGCTGATGACAATTTGAAGTGTGCAGCTAACGGTGTACTCACCGACTTGGCATTATGCATATTAGAATGATGAAGAACTTTATCAATATATCCCTTCTGACTGAGATACACTTTTCCAGATGGTCTATCTCTGGATATTTTCATGCCAAGTATTTTCTTTGCTGCACCCAAATCCTTCATCTCAAATTCATTACTCAATTGCTTTTTTAGTTCATTAATCTCTGACATACTCTTTGCAGCAATAAGCATATCATCAGCATAAAGGAGCAAATAAATAGTTGAACCATTGACAGTTTTCAAATAAACACAACTATCATAATTAGACCTTTTGAAACCTTGAGAGAGCATAAAGGTGTCAAATCTCTTTGTACCACTATCTAGGGGATTGCTTCAATCCATAAAGAGATTTCTTTAACTTGCAGACAAGCTTTTCTTTTCCAGGAATAACAAAACCTTCAGGTTGTTCCATATAAATATCCTCTTCTAATTCTCCATGTAAAAATGCAGTTTTAACATCCAATTGTTCAAGCTCAAGATCATGCATGGCAACAATACTGAGTAAAGTGCGAATAGAGCTATGCTTCACAACAGGAGAAAAGACTTCGTTATAGTCAATACCTGGAATCTGGCTATAACTTTTAGCAACTAACCTTGCTTTATATCTTGTCTCATCATTAGAAGAAACACCTTCTTTCCTTTTGAAAACCCACTTGCAACGAATATGTCTCTTCTCTCTAGGCAATTTTACTAAATCCCAAGTGCCATTCTTTTCAAGTGATTCCATCTCATCATGCATAGCAGTCATCCACTTATTACTATCACCCGAAATAATAGCCTCGGAATATGAAGAAGGCTCAGCATTACCTTCAATTTCTTCTGCAACAGATAAATCAAAAGAAACAATATTGCACTCTTCAATTAACCTATCAGGTTTATTAATACCCCGTCTAACTCTGTCACGTGCAAGATTCCAACTAGGTGGAACAATAGGCTGATTTGGAGTGGGAGTGACATGTTCATCATCAACGATGGGTTCATCATGTGCATCAACAATTTCATTACCAGATGTATCACCTGTTTCAATAACATGCTCCACCTGAATAGTAGGCTGCTGAATAGTAGGCTGCTGTTCACTCTCAACGGGAACATTAGTAGATGAAACATCATGTAACATAGCAGATTCATTAAAGATAACATTTCTGCTAATAACAACCTTTTGGGTTTCAGGATTCCACAATTTAAAACCTTTAACACCAGATTTATAACCAAGAAAGATGCACTTAACAGCCCTAGGCTCCAACTTTCCATTATCAACATGAGCATAAGCAGTACAACCAAAGACTCGCAACTGTGAATAATCAGCAGGTGAACCAGACCATACCTCAATTGGAGTTTTCTTATTAAGAGCAATAGATGGTGAACGGTTAATGAGATAACAAGCAGTGGAAGTGGACTCAGCCCAAAAACGCCTATGCAAACCTGCATTGGACAACATGCAACGGGCTCTGGAAATAATGGTCCTGTTCATACGCTCAGCAATACCGTTTTGTTGAGGAGTATAAGGAACGGTGTAATGTCTGACAATGCCTTCAGACTTGCAATAATTCTTAAATTGCTTAGAACAAAATTCCATACCATTATCAGTGCGAAGTATTTTTACCTTCCTTTCAGTTTGTCTTTCAACCATAATCTTCCACTCCTTAAAAGCTGAGAATGCTTCATATTTATGCTTCAAGAAATAAGGCCAAACTTTTCTCGAATAATCATCAATAATAGTCAGCATGTAACTAGCACCACCTAGTGACTTCTTGCGAGATGGTCCACATAAATCAGAATGCACATAATCAAGAATGCCTTCAGTTGTGTGAGTCGAAGTGTTGAACTTCACCCTCTTGTGCTTGCCAAAGATACAATGCTCACAAAATTTCAGTTTACCAGGTTCATATCCATCAAGGAGACCTTTCTTGGTTAACTCTGCTAAACCAAGTTCACTCATATGTCCAAGACACATATGCCAAAGGTTAGCAGCATCACAATCAGAATTCTTTGAAACAACTGGAGTAGCGTTACCTGAAACAGTAGAACCTCGAAGGTAATAAAGACCATTGGTCGAACTTAAGTCACCTTTCATCACAACAAGGGAGCTTTTGGTGACTTTTAAAACACTATCTCCACCTGAATACTTGTACCCCTTTGCATCAAGGGCACTCATAGAAATAAGATTTCTCTTCATCTTCGGAATATACCGAACATCTGTCAAAGTTTTGATTATGCCATCGAACATCTTGATTCGAATAGAACCTATGCCTTCAATCTTGCATAGTGAATTATCAAAACCCAAAACGGAACCAGCAGCAGTAGTGGAATCAAAAGTATTAAACCAATCTCTATGTGGACACATATGAAAAGTGCATGCGGTGTCAAGTACCCACTCATCATTGGTCTCAGCACATCCAGCAATAACGACAAGAGCATCATCGGAACTATCATCACGAGCAACGTTAGCAGAATTGTCACCTTGTTTGTTACATTTCCTTTTTTCCTTGTTCTGCAACTTGAAACACTCAGAGATGTCATGCTCGTCTCTCCTGCAATATCTGCAATACTTCTTGTCTCTGGATTGCGACCGGCCCCTGTAGCCGTTCTTACTTTTGCCTCTGTTTCCATTATTGGTGTTCTTCTCCTTTGTCCTGCCACGAACAGATAATCCCTCGGCTTGGGATGAACTTGAACCATCATGAGACACCATTAATTTCATCTTCTCCTTAGAGTTCAAAGCTTCATAAACTTCATCAAGTGTGAGAGTATCACGACTGTATAATATGGTGTCTCTAAAATTGGTATAAGAACTTGGCAGTGAACAAAGTAACATTAAAACAGTATCTTCCTCTTCATACTTAACCTCCATTGCAGCTAGATCAGATATGATCTCTTTAAATTCTGAAATATGATTCAAAACATTACCTCCCTCGGGTGACCTGTGCAGGAATAATTTTTGCTTCAGATGCATCTTGCTGGTGAGATCTTTAGTCATGCAAATCCCTTCCAGCTTTAACCATAGAGCGGCGGCAGTTTTCTCGCTCAAAACTTCCTGCAAAATATTATTATGCAAATGGAGTTGAATTTGTGACAAAGCCTTACAATCAATTCTTTTCTCCTCATCAGTCCAGTCCTGAATTCTATTCTTTCCAAAACTATCCAGTGCTTCATCATAGTCGGACTGTGCCAACAACGCCCGCATCTTGACTTGCCATAGGGTAAACCTTGTGTCATGGTCCAGCAGCGGAAGATCGTACTTCATGGATGCCATGAACCGATAAAACTGTGTACACAAAGTAGTACAAGCGGAAAGAAAATTCTTGATAGAATTAATTAACGCGGAGCAGTGAAATAGAGTAAATAGCACCTGGTAGCTTCCTCGTGTGCACGTAGCAACAGAAGACAAAAATCTGATTTGGAGAAGATGCCTTCACCTGACGTAGTACTAGTAGTTGGCTATTGTAGTACTGATCGCTATGGATTTGGTTAGTCTTCACGTCAGGAAACAAGTAGCAGCAGCAATGATGGATTTCCTCGGGACTTGAAGCAGCAGCGGCAACGTGCATACGAACGGCTGCGGTCTTGACGATTTGTACGTGAACGCCAAAATCGATCTGGCCGCTACGGCAGGTACAGAAGATAATC